CAGCACAGGTATCCCCATCCTTCCTCACTAGGCCAAGCACATCTTCCCTAGAGCTCTGCCTGCTCTTCCCAGGAGGAGGAATCTTTCCTCTCTAGATGTAATCTCCAAGAGACAGGAGGCCATTTGGTTAAATTACACTGAATTCTGAAGGAGCCCAGTGGGGACCCTGGGAAACAGTGATGTGTAACAGAATTGAGAAGGCTAGAAGAATATAAAGTAGCAGCCACATACTCAAGTCAGAGACCCATAGTAAAGTTTTATTTTATACCAAAGACCATGGAGGGATGCCTGGGTGGCTTAGTCACTTAAGCATCTGCCTTTGGCTCAAGTCAAATCAGGGACTGATCCCAGGGTCCAGGGATCAAGTCCCACATCGGGCTCCCTGCTCAGCGGGGAGCCTGGTTCTCCCTCTCCCTCTGCCTGCCGCTCCCCCTGTTTGTGCTCTCTCTCTCTGTCTCTGACAAAAAAAATCTAAAAAAAAAAAAAAAAAGGCCTTGGAAAGCTAGTGATGTATTTTAAAGAAGGAAACATTGGGATAGTATCTATACATATAAGAAAATCAGTCTGGTTGCAACATGGAAAATGAGCTCAAAGTAACCCTGAAGATCTGGAGATGAATGCAGAGCTGGAGCAGTCGCCCAGAAGGTGACGGTGGCCAAGACTAGGGTCACACTCCTGGGAATCGAGAGAAGCAGAAGCATCCCAGGGCTGTTTAGGACGTAGGATCAACAGGACCTGGTGATGGATTAAATGAGTGAAGGAGGGGGAAAAGGCGAGGACAGCCCAATCATCAGGCCACAACAAGTAACTTACAACATGGCAATTCTACTCTATTCCACACAGTGTTCCCAAGTGACAACTGGCCAGTGTCGGAAAAAGATTTGGACTGAGTCTTGCCATGGCGTGAGGATTTCTGATGGAGAGCTCTGAGTCACCCTGTCTGCAAAGAATAAAGGCAGGCTTAGAGAGAGAAAATGTCGAAAATTAAGCAGCCACTTGTCTTGACAGCATTAAAAATAATCTGTCACCTGCTCCTAACTTTGTTCGTGGTTACAAAGGCCATTGTTTGAGTGAACAAAGAGGGTAAGGAATTTGGAAAGAACTATTTACCCAGAGAAGCTGATAAGAGCTCAGGCTGGAGGAGACTTGCATGTGAATGAGGAAGGGTGTGGGCAGCTCCAAACACAAACATTCTGTGCATTGCAAACAACTCAAGGGACTCAAAATCCCATTCATTGGAAGGAACATGGTTTCCACAGCTGCTGTTGGTTGATCCAGAATATTCTGAAAATGACCTGGCCTTTCAGGAAGAGCCATTTCCCATCTGATGAATCAGACATTCAACTCCAAGGACAATAAACTAATGGTAATTGAGGACTGAGGGACTCCACTTTCCTCCATCAGACACCTCACCCCAGCGTGCCCTCCTCCCAGCAGCTTCCCACGTTGCCCGAAGTCACACTGGACCCTAGCAAGCATTCACCACATGCAGACTAAGGTCACTTCATTTTATGAAAAGTCCTTAGAGAAGGGGAGAGTTCAAGAGTAGAATCTGAGCATTCAAAAGCCAACAAGATTTTCTTCAGAGTCGTTTGGATTCTGGTTCCTCGCATTGGCCCTCTCTGCTAAACTCAGAATGACTGTCCTCGCATAAGTGATTTTCCCATTGGAATTCCTTCCCTGAACTAATTCTGGGGAACTTCAGTTTCCATTAACTAGCTAGGTGTTTTAGGTTGTGAATGTTCTTCTCTACTTGACCTGATCCTTAACTATTGGGCACTACAATAGGCCTATGGACAGGATTCAGCCATTTCAGTAGGAAGGATCAGTTGACCCCAGCAACCAAGAGTGTTTTAGTTGGCCAAGCCAAGGGCCAAATGGGAAAGGGAAAATGCTTAGCTCTCTAAAGCCAAACCTTAGAGGCTTGAAGCCAAAATCTTCCCTGCAAAGAGAAAACAGCCTCAGCTATTAGTGAGGCACTCAAGGAGGCAAACACAGAGCTGAAAAAGGAGAAGTGTTTAAAGGAAGTGCTCTTGAAGAATGATATTCACTCTGTTCTACAAGAAGTTAGCCCCCAGAATGTTAGCTAATCTGTGACAGATTGCACATACAATGAAACATTGTTTTGAAGTCAATCTTCCCCACTCCATAAAAATGACATTTTATGGCTTGTCTTGCTAATTTTTCACACATTTAGATTCTGCTTGACAGAGAAAGTTGACATTGTTAAGTAGTATTAAGTCCTCTGAGCTCCCTCAGCTGGCTAGAAAGCCCCCAACTGCTGTTACATAGATTAATCCAAGTTAAATATTTGTAACACAAACATGGGGAGAGTCTGCCTTTTGTCTTCTAGTTGTCCGGAATCACAGAAATCAATTTGGTTTCCTCAAAAAAAAAAAAAAAAAAAGAAAAAAAAAGAAAAAGAAAAAAAAAGAAAACCTATGCCCTGGAGTTATCACATTGACTTAAATACATGACACATTTACCTAATGGAGAAAAAAACAAAAACTGCCAAGGGCCAGAGGCCCATTAACAACAACTTCCTATTTATCAGATTTGGGTGGCAACAGGGGAATGAATTACTGAGCCTCTGCATGCACAGCAGTCACCTCTGCCCCTGTGTATAGAATAGATGTGTAGTCACTGACTGGTAAGAAAAATACTATCATCGTTCTCCCTCATTTGGAATCTCTGACGCTATTTGGAGTAAGACTTGACAACTTCCCAAATCTGGAAAATAGGCACAAAAATCATTTTTAAACTTAATTTTTGGACGCCGGCTTTACTTGGCAATGTGATATAATAGGAGTTTGAGATCTGCAGTCACTAAGTCTGTGTTGAAGGCCCAGTTTGGCTCTTACTAGCTGGCTAACCTCTGGCAAATCTTTGGCATCCCAGTTTCTACAGCTGGAGAAGAAACAGTACCACCTGCCTCACACGTACCGAGGATCACGGGGGTCACAGCAAGTGAAAAGTGCTGGGCAACTGCCTTCTACTCACCTTCTGGAGCTTACTCAAGGCTCAGAAATCTAGCTAGCATGAACAACGGGTTAGGAGTGAGGAAATTCTGTCTCATCAGCAAAGCGAGTGAACCCCTTTCCCTCACACACCTCTCCTCGTGCAGACCCGTAGCTAGTGAATGGACCAGGATACTGAGAATCAGTCAGCTGAGCTCAAGGACCACCACCCTGATTCCTCACCTTTGTTGCAGATTAGAACACCTGGGGAGATTTTAAACATGAAAAGTTAGGAATTTGGAAAGAACTATTCACCCAGAGAAACTGCTAAGAGCTCAGGCTGGAGAAGACTTGCGTGTGAATGAGGAAGGGGGTGGGCAGCTCCAAATACCGACATTCTGTGCACTGCAGACCACTCAGGAGCTCAAAATCCCATTCATTGGAAAGAACATGGTTTCCAACAGCAGCACCATTTTTCAAAGCCACTGAGGTGGTTCCGCTATACAGCAAAGTTTGGGAACCTCAGCCCAACTCCCTCTATAGTCACCTAAGGATTCCTTTCACCTTCTTGGTTCTACACTGTCCAACTTTGAAATGAGAATTGAAGCCCAGGACACTCAATTTTGAGCCTCTGTCCCTCCCTGCAGTAAGCCTAGTAGCTATCTGCCCTACTACTTACCTCCAGCTGGGAAATGTGAACCATGAGTAAGCAGAGGGCAGCTGGGAATAGGGAGGTGAGCCTAGAGCTGGGGAGAGCCCAGGCACCCCTTCCCACGCTGGGTGAACAGCAGGGTAAGATAAAAAGGAGATTTCGAGGTCAAATAAAATTGGGCTATTCTGAGTTCCCCAAAGTTAAGCAGATTTCTTCATTGCAGGACTTCTCAGATCTGTTAAGTTGGAGTATGATTCTGAATCTGCCAGAGAGGATTGTAACAGCATGTCTCCCCATGGAAACCTTCATTTTCTCAGAGCATGTCAAGGACTAGGGTTTCAAAGAATATACTTTGAGAAGCTTAGAGCAATGTTGGGGGTAGGGGACATTTGGCAATATCTGGAGGCACCCTTGGTTGTCACAGCTGGGGGTTGGTAGCTGTTCCCGGCATCCAGTGGACAAGGGCCAGGGAGGCTGATAAACATCCAACAGGCAGGAGAGCCCCCCACGACAAAGATTTACTGGCCCCCAGTGTCACTAGCTTACTGGCCCCCAGTGTCACTAGCAGTGCAATGGAAAAGCCCCGGCCTAGAGTGACCCCTTCTCTCAGAGGCCACCATCCAGACCATAGCTTCAGATATGGAAGATGAGAGAAAAAGACAGGAGAGAGAGCACAGGCATAGGAGGAAAAAGGAGCAAAGGAATGAAATGAGAGGAAAAACAGACAAGAATGAAGGAAGGGGCGGGCAGGGCGGGGGGAGGACAAAAGAAGACAGATCCACAACTGCCAAAACTTGGAAGAGACCAAGATGTCCTTCAGCAGGTGAATGGATGAACATGGATGAACGGTGGCACAGCCAGACAGTGGACTATGACTCAGCACTAAAAAGAAATGAACCATCAGGCCATGAAAAGACATGGAGGAAAACCTACAAGCATATTGCTAAATGAAAGAAGCCAACCTGAAAAGGCTCCATACTGTATGTTTCCAGCAGATGACATCTGGAAAAGGTGACACTGTGGACACTGTACAAAGCTCCGTGGTTGCCCAGGGGCTTGGAAGGAGGGAGAAGAGGCAGAGCACAGAGGATTTTTAGGGCAGTGAAAATACTCCCCTACAATAATGGTGGACACGTGTCATGATACATTTGTGTAAACCCATGGAAAGGACAATACTGAGCATGAACACTAGTTGGAAACCGTGAATCCTGGGTGATAATGGCGTCCCTCAGTGGTGACACTGCCCCACTCTGGTGGGGGCACGGGGATGGCCGGGAAGGCCGTCCGTGCGTGGGGACGGGGATCTATGGGAACTCTCTGTACTGCCTGTTCCATTTCGCTGTGAACCCAAAACTGCTGGAAAAAGGAAAAAAGAAGCCAGAGCAGCACCCTGATATGAACTGGCCCCAGCCTCCTCGTGCCTTTATTACTTCTGTGAGTTTAGGAAAGGTGGTGATTCTGCTCCTCAGCGGGCAGGAGCGGGCAGCTGGCGGTGAGGAAGACAGACGGAAGGCAGGAGGTCTTCTTTGGCCAAGCGCTCCGTGCCCAGGGCTCCTCGGAGGCCTCAGACCCTGCTGGGCTTCTTGGGGTCCTTGCTCTTGGAGGGCATGAAGGCGTAGAGCTCCTCAATGAGCATCTCCATCCGGGCGGTGACCTCGGTCACCGTGTCGATGACCAGCTTCTGCTGCAGCTTCAGCTTGTTGTTCTCCCACAGGGCCTTGTTCTCCTCCTGGAAGATCCTGTGCTCCTCGCGAAGCACGTGCAGGGCCCTGTTCTCCTCCTGCAGGAGCCGGTTCTCCTCGCGGAGGAGCTGCAGGCTCTGGTTCTCCTCCCGCAGGGCCTGCAGCGCCTGGTTCATCTCTCTCAGCAGCTCCAGGGACTGGCTCCCATCAGGCAGGCTGGAGCCGGCCTTGACCTCCTCGTCCCCGGAAGAGCCGGACAGGTTGCTGACCATCTGGCGCAGGACCCGGAGCGTCTTGGAGTCCTCCTGGGGGATCGGGGTCCCCTTGGACTCCTCGAAAGGGGAGGAGAGGCCGGTGCTCTGGTCTGGCAACAGCCCTGGGACGTGGGGCTCCTCATGGGGCGAGGGGGCGGGCTTGGTCTCCCCCCCGGGGCCCGCCTTCTCCTCCGTCTGGACCCAGTAGGCCTTCCTCTGCTCCAGCAGCAGCTGCAGGGCCCTGTTCTCCTCCCTGAGCAGCTGGAGGGTGCTGTTCTCCTTGCTGTGGTGCATTTGCAAGGCCGTGTCCTTCTTCACCACCTCCAGGGCCACGTTGTCCTTGTGCAGCAGTGGTGAGGAGGCCCTGCTCTCGTCCCGGCCGAGTGTAGCCTTGTGTTCCTCCCAGAACACCTGCAGGATCTTGTTCTCCTTGCGGAGAGTCTTGTTCTCCTCCCGCAGCGCCTTGTTCTCCTCCCGCAGCGCCTTGTTCTCCTCCTGCAGCAGGTACTCCTTGGCCAGTCTCTTGTGGTGCAGCTTATGGTGGAAAGAGGAGGACGGAGAGAAGTAGGGGGACTGGAGGCGGCAGTTTTCGTTCACCCACCGCCCGTCCTGGAAGACAAACATCTCATCGCTGAGCTGTACTCGCGGAGGGTTGTAATCCAGCTCCAGGTCGGCCTGGGAGATGGGGCGCTCCATGGGGTCCAAGGGCACCGAGGAGAAGCGAGTCAGCGGGTACGAGTGCTGGCTGACCACTCGGCGGCTCAGCCGGGGCAGGGTGGCCTGCCGGGCGCAGCGTGGGGTGGGGTACAAGTTGTGGAGCCTCAGGAAAGGCTCGGCTGTGCCCCTCTGCAGGAGAGAATAGGGAAGCCCACAGTTAGTGAAGGAGCTGACCCCCCAAGGCTGCTCGCCTGACACCCCACAATTAACTCAGTCTGATCTTCCCGCTTGGCCACAGAGGACACTTTTGCATTTGGCCTCATGGGGTCCTCTCAAGGAAATACAATTGATCCTTATTATTTGCAGCAGTTCTGTTCTGTAAAATTACTGCAAACACTGAAGTCCCAAATACCAAACCATTGCCCCCAGGAGAAATGTAGGGTTAGGTTCCTGCCAGCCTCTAGCCACAGTTCTGTCAACCAGTCGATACATAACCTTGTATTTACATGTATTTCCATTGAAAGACACCTTATGTAGGATGTATCACTGATTCATTAACATTGAACTTTCAGGCAACAGCACTGTCTCTCACTCCTGAACAGAGTGTATCTAACCCATGTTTTCTCCATAAGGCACTTCACACCTTCTTTCATTTAGGGACACCGGACAGCCCTTCAATATACCGGGGGGGGGGGGGCGTTTGAAACTGTGAAATCACCCAAAAAAAGCACAGAAATGCGAAAAATGTGGCACTACATAAACTGTGCAAAGCACATCATTTCACCGTGTGAGAGCAGAGACAAGGCTCCTTATCTGGAATGTGCTCATCAGGGGACTTAAATTTTTCGTCACTCTGTGCACGTCTGTAGATGACCACCAAAGTGCCACAGAGATTGATTAGATGGTTACAGATTTCAGTGAGTGGGAAAATCCACAAATAGGGAATCCACAAATAATGGCAATCACATATATATTGTGCAGGTTGAAGGCATTGACTAGGAGTCAACAAATATTTTGATTCCCGGTCCCACTATTTTGTCAGTTACGAGAATATGGCAAGTTACTTGCGTTTCAGTTTCCACACTTTCAACTTGGGATAACTACATCTACTGCCTTTCCTCACAGAGCTATTTTTAGGATGACTAGAGATAATGCATGAAAATATGAAATGTGGGCTCTGGCACACTTCTGTCACCTTAGAGGAGGAACAAACATGCTTCTCAATCGACCCTCGCTACAGATATGTACCCACGATGGGCACGGGCAGAGGAGCAGCATGAATCACCCCGATAGACGCCCAAGTCACTGTGTCCAAAATGGTGGTGCTGTCCATCAGCCGAGTCTGCTCCCTTGCCCCATTCAGGCTCGTCCTTCACTCTTAGCTTCCCTGAGTCTATCCTTCCAGTGGCCCCTTTCACATCTGCCAACAGAGTGTTAGGCTCAAAGCAGAGTCCAGTGGGTAATTTTGGAAAAGAAGGGCACCATCATAGACATACCACTGAGCAGTGAGAGTTCAATTCATCTCAATACCATCATATAAAAAGGGGATCAGAGCCACAGAGCTTAAATCCAATAAGCCAGTAGCTCTTACACTTTCCATTGTAGAATACTCAGCTGAGTGTGTTTTAAATGCAGATTTCTTTTTTTAAAGACTTTATTTATTGATTTGAGAGAGGGGGAAAGAGCACGAGTGGGTTGGGAGGGTCAGAGGGAGAGGGAAAAGCAGACTCCCCACTGAACAGGGAACCAGAAGTGAGGCTCGATCCCAGGACCTGGAATCATGACCTGAGCCAAAGGCAGATGCTTAACCAACTGAGCCACCCAGGCGCCCCTTAAATGCAGATTTCTGAGTTCCTTACTCGTAAGACTGATTCACTTATTATGGGGTATGGTCCAGGAACCTGCATTTCCAACCAGTTCCCTCAAATGATTCTGGCTGCTGGTGGTCAGGAAAGCTCTGAGTCAGCTAGAATGTGAAGTTCGCCTGGGTGGAAGTTGTACCAGGGTTAGAGGCTGAGGTGTCAAGACTGGGGGTCACAAGATTCTCATCCTGGTTCTGTCACTGATGAGCAGTGTGAACCTGGAAACTTTCACCCTCTCTGAGACCCAGATTTTTTACTAGTGAAAAAGAGAGAGCCAGACTCCCTGATCTTAAAGGCACCTTCAAGGAGCGCCTGGGTGACTTAGTCGGGTGAGCATCCAACTCTTGGTTTCGACTCAGGTTGTGATCTCATGGGTCATGGGATTGAGCCCCGTGTCAGGCTCGGCACTCAGCTGGGATCTGCTTGAAGATTCTCTCCCTCTGCCCCCACTCACACGCACTGTCTCTCTCTCTCTGTCTAAAGTAAATAAATCTTAAAAAAAAAAAAGACACCTTCCAACATTTAAAATCAGTGAAATGTACCTATAAAATGGAAATAAAAACATATGCCCTGTTTAGTGCACCACACCATTGTGAGGATGGAATGAGATAATGATTGCAAAAATGTTTTTAAAACTGCCAAGTGCCATCAAAATGTAAGGTATTGTTATCAAGAAAAGTAGGTTTCACTAATGGAAGAATTCTGAGGTGTATTCAGAAAGTGGTGAACAGATAGAATGCAACCTGAAGAAGAGGTAACAATTGCAGCAATGAATTTAAATAAAAATAAGATCATGATAGCTACTTCTAAATACACCAAAGGCATCTCATCATAAGTACATTGCAATGCTCTCCAAATATCAATTCCTCATTTCTTAGGTTATTTTCACAATTTTACAGATAGAGAAGATAGAAAACAAGTCAGGTTATCTGCATTATATATATGGGTATAGAGAGAAAATATAATTTGCACGGTGTATCATGCTGGCTCGAATTCTTTAAGACCCAAAGAGCTAGATAAATAGAAGGCTCAGTTCTATGCTATTAACTTTGCAAGAAGCACATGTCACGAACTTTATAAGGATGTGCTTAATCTTCTAGATAGTGAGGGTCCAGGGGCATTCTGCATTCAGAACCTTATTTGCTTTAAATAAATCCAGCCTCCATGGTTTTCATATTTCTCAATTGGCTATTGGCTGAATTGGAAAGAGCCTATTGGCTCTTGTGGCTGAAACTGTGACCAGAATAAACCACACTGTGGGCAGCCCGGCCCATTTAAGGTCCCTTGGTCCCAGATTTCTGGGAAGATTAGCCACAGTCATGAAGGAGCAGATCATGAGAGGTCCTTTCCTCTAGTGCAGGCCTCTATCACAGCAGGATCTCGTTCTAGAAAACATCACTATGGGAATGGTGGCTTTAGTCAACAGTGTGGATCCCAATCTTGAGAAGAAGAAGGAAACAAATATTGAGCTCCCATTTTGTGCCAGACCTGCCCACCGAATTAATTTAACCCTCGCAACACTGACTTAATGAAGTGTTGTTATTATTATTCCCATTTTACAGATGGAGAAGCAAACTCAGGGTCAAAGTTAAATAACCAGTGCGAGTTCACCCACTAAAGTCACCAACCCAGCCCTAGCTGCCTGAACTTAACACGGGTGAAGCACACACGCAGGAAATCACCACGGATTTAACAAAGGACTTGCAGTAGTTAGGGGGAGAAGATAGTTCTGTGTTAACTTCGTATTATGGCAAACTTCAAACGTACACACAGAGAAAGAGAAGAGCTCATTAAACGTCCAAATATCCTCACCCAGCTTCCACAGTTATGAAATTAAGGCCATGCGTTTCATCTGTATGTCCACCCAACACTGCCACCTCGCCCCCGCCACTGCATTCTTTTGAAGCAAATTGTAGACATCATGTTATTTTACCCATAAATACATTGATGCGTATCTTTTCGACAAAGCATCAATACCATTAACAATGATCACTTAATATCGGCAAATCCTGAGTCAGTGCTCAAATTCCCCCAATTGTCTTATTTCTATTTTATTTCATTTCAATCAGAGATATGTATCTTGATCCAACTGCACATCCAAAGGCGAATCACTAGTGCTTTCTACTGTTTATTACTGTTCCGAGTCTCCATGATGGTCTTTAAATCATCATATCCAGCTGCCTTTATTCGGCCTTGGGTACCCAAGGAACTTTCGACCGTCCCCTCAGCAGAAATGCACTAAATAAAACCTTACCATGTGGGTGGTGGATCCCCAGCTATGAAAAATCTGGATACTTGGGCCCTTATCCTTATGCATGCCACCAGGTGACCTTGGTCACATCCCAGCACCCTCCGACCTTGGTTTCCACATCGGTATAATGAGGGGTCAGTGACATGATCACTAAATGTCCTCTTTGACTGACTTCCTCTGCTCCGGTAGATCCATGTTTGTAAGTGGGCACCACTATGGCCCCAGCAACTCTCATTACCAACCTTAACATCCTGTTCCCTCTTTTAAACGGCCAATGTTTCCCACACAGACTCTGTGCCTTCTTGGTTACAGGCCCACAGCACCCGATTCAGAAAATGTCGATGGGCTAATAGGACCACTTTAATTCCTTTAATTCCTTCCCCAGAACCCGATGCTCCTCTCATAATTGTCCTATATCTTCCCTCCTATGCCCAGACAGGATCAAGAAGGAGGTCAAGTCCAGTGTTGCCTCGTGGCCTAGTGTCTGAGACAGCACACAACAACATTTAAAAATTCTTTAACAGTCATGTATTCATTTTAGTGATTATTAGAAGAATATACCTGTTTTATCAAACCCATAATCCTATGGATTGTATCAAGAGGCTAAAGTAAATCAGCATCTTCTTCTGAAACTGAGATTTAAGGAAAAATGCCAAATATCCAGGCATTTCAGAGATGCCAGGAATCATGATTAAACTCTAAGACAAGAGAAAACATTAAGACAAGACAAATTATTTCTTTCCCCAATTCCAATCGGACCTAGCTGGACTTAGTTCCTTAAGTCTCCTTCTTGGGGGCGCCTGGGTGGCTCAGTTGGTTAAGCCGCTGCTTTTGGCTCAGGTCGTGATCCCGGGGTCCTGGGATCGAGTCCCACATCGGGCTCCCTGCTCAGCAGGGAAGCCTGCTTCTCCCTCTCCCTCTGCCTCTCCAGCTCCCCACCCCCACTTATGCTCTCTCTCAAAATAAAATCTTTAAAATGTAAATAAAAACTAATAAGGATTTAAAAAAAAAAAGAAAGAAAGAAAGAAAGAAAGAAAGTCTCCTTCTTGGCCTTGTGAAAACTCCCCACCCTAAGT